ATTCATTAGATTCCTGGAACTTTTGCCACTCTCATTCTGTGTTAATTACAGGAAGAAATGTAAGAATCTTCACTAACATTTAGCCAATCTAAATGTGTGTGATCAGAGGCAATGAAACCTTCAAGCACAGTGTGAGACACCCCAAATCCACTCTGGCTGGGGTTTAATATTCTACTCACAAGGCAGATATGCTATGGAGAATTAATACTTTGGTACTACTGAACTAAAACCTTGCCCTGGTTTGAGTTAACCTTTGATCCCCAACTCCCCCATGGCAGTGGAGTGTGTTTCCCTCAGTATTCTGCCCAAGCTCAAGTGCCACCAGTCCCTGGCTTCTCTCCCAGGCTCTGGGTGGGTTCAAGTGGCTGAAGTGCTGAGGATTTTTACACAACAAAACAACACCCCCCTCAAACTGCTACAACAGAAAAACAAGCTCAATACCTACAATAAATACTTTCAAACTTTCATCAATTTCTGTTTTCAATGAGATCCAACAGCTAATTAATGATTTTTATCTTCAGTGCAGGACAAATCTTTCTCACAGCAAAGTTTCACACAGCCTGAAGTTGTTGCCAGCAAATTCTGCTTAAACTGGCTTGTACCAAGCAGGGATTTGATGTTCTGGAGTAACTCAGATGGTTACCTGCACTTGTACTGCTGTGGTCTCCCAGGTTCTTGGGCTTTTATCTGTCAAGAAATGTTGTTGATAATCATCTCTTCAAATCAAGAAGTGGCAGCAGTGAATTCTAGTGAGAAAGAGTCAAGACATCGCAATGAAATCTGTTATTTCTCATTTGATTAAAGAGGGTCTTAAAGATGCTCAGCTTTAACAAGTCTTAAATTAAAGAAAAAAAAATTAGGCTAAAATTATTTCTTTCTTTTCACCCAAGTATGATTCAAAGCAGCTGAGCTATAGATTCACTACAGAACTTTTCAAATGTTTGCTCTTTCAAGTCAGAGGGGAGCACACTGAGGGCTGATTTTACTGCTTGTTTCTGTGTTCTGTGCAGGAAGAGTTGAGGAGAACAAGGCAGTGCAGGTCTCTTGCAGGTAACAGAAGAGGAGGAAGGATTGGAAGAAGCTACAGAACGTTTTTTTTGTCGTTGTTTTCAGTGATTTATGGCAGGTTTTATGTAGAAGCTGCACTGCTGAGGAGCAGAGCTCTGATCTGACCTCTGAATATCAACCTCACGTCTCAGACTCAGGGGGAAATAATATATTTTCAAATGCTTCTCCTTTTCCTATTATTTCAGTTGAATAATAAAAGAATAGGCGTAGATATGACTGAACTGAGGCTTTGTGAGAAGAATTTAATATTCTGATTGCTCTCTCCTATCAAAACTTCATCCACTGCTGCTGCTCAGATGGTTCCAGCAGCAGAATTTAGGTCTGGCTTTAGGGAGAGTTGTGAGGGATTTCCCTGCTGGCCTCTGGGCAGGACTTTCCCCTCCTTGGATCCATTCTTTGCATACATTTTATGTTGCAGATTAATTATCACTTCTGGACTTGTTGCTGCTCCCTTTCTGAGGGAAACACCAACCCTTTGTTCTGCTGGAACAAAGGAAATCCAAAGCGATTGACAGCATTTCAGGGTAATTACATCCTCATTATGGTGCTGATAGTTCCCCTTGATTGGCACCACGTGGCTGTTTTCAATAGGACCCGCAGGGATAATTAATTGTGGCGAGCCCATTAATTTGCCATTGTGACACTTTACCAAAGTACCAGGCCAAGAGTCCACCGTGGGTGAAGGAGGTGTCTCTGTGCTCTGGGACTTCAGAGCATCCAGAAAACCCTGAGCTCTTTCTGCTCCCAGGAATCAGTTGCTTTTAAAAATCTTCACCTCAAGCCTTCCTTAAAAATTATGTTCTTAAGGCAAAGGCATCTTTTGGTGGGTAAAATATTTCAATCATGAGAGAGAGAGAACCCTTATTTATGAAGTTGTTTTGTGGGTAGGAAAGAACAGTGTAGGCATTGAAGTGACTTGCACATCCACTGTGGAAAAGGAACCTTACTCATGTTCAGGTTCACACGTGCAAAAATAAATCCAAATAGCCATAAAAACCTGGGTTGATTAAAACATAAGGGCTTTTTTTCATTATTAGCTCACAGTGAAAATATAGCTAAATGAAAAAGGTTTCCATTTCACTATTGTTGTGGCCCAACCATAAATATTTTGTCTCAGATTTCATCTTAAAAATGTACTGTTTTAAAAGGCCCTTTAGTATTTATTATTTATTCCTTTTCTTATCATATTATGCCAATATTTGTCCTGATTCTCTTGCAATTAATTCCTCTTCAAAGTGGTCTAAGAATGCAAGGATTTCATTTGGGTGTAGATGAGAGTTTGTAAGGAGGGTGGACCTCATCCTAGGTAAAATTCCATGTTCATCTGTCAAACAGCTTAGAAGAACTTGAATTTTAACGATGTATTTCATCACCTCTCTGTATAATTATGTCTCAGTGATGTTGTGTGCAGGTATCAATTATGTCCTTCCTCTTCTTGATTAAAATAACCCTTCATTAAAAGCCACCTCTCTTCATTTGGGTGCATTTTGATGACAGAACTTCAGGCACTTTGCAGGTCTTGGCTAACTGAGGGTGCTCTGAGCTGCATCACTTCTCTCCCAGATTAGCTGGTGTAGAGCTGAAAAATAAAGATTTGAAGATTGAATATTTGAAGAATAAAGATTTGAAGAATAAATGTTTGAAGAATAAATATTTAAAGAATAAAGATTTGAAGAATAAAACCAGTTCCTGGATGGGGAGGAGATGTGGATGAGGTGGCAGCAATTTTACATTTAAGTAGATAATACGTAAAAAGTTTGTGTTGACTTCCTGCCCCTTTATTTTTGACTGGGAAGATCTGTCTTTATTAATTGGGAAATGTGGAGATAAATTCTGTGATTTTGGGGTTTAATTATGATTTTTGTTTCCCCTGTTAATTCTGTCATTCCCCAGCTAAAGAGGAAATTTTAACCCCACATTTTAGGAGCGTCTGCCTCCATCAGGAGCAGCAGCTGCAGCTCTGGAGGTGTGGAACGTGCCCAGGTGCTGCTTCAATATTTCCATTTTCCCTTGTGGCATCTCCAGCCTCCCACTCCAGCACTCCAGGAATTTCCCTTCATGCTCACCTGCTGAGTGTGACAGCAGAGACAGAGCAGATTCCTCCTTTTTTCCATTTTAAAATTTAATTTTATTTCATTTACATGTTGATATCTCATATAAATATTCTATTTTTCATATAAATATTCTATATCATTTAACTGTTCTACTTCATATCCCTGAATCTATTGACTCAGACAATAACTGAACCCAATACAAAAGGAAGAATTATTTTATATATTTAACTGTGGTTTGCTTGGTTTGAATTTAATGCTTAACCTTTCTACTAAATTGTAATTAAATGTGTATGCCTATGTAGACATTAATTATATCATCAATTGAAAGCAGTGAAAATCAATTAATTTGTTTTCACTCACATTGTGGAGGGAGTGGAGTGCAAGTCAGGTTGTAATAATTTGTAATTTATATTTATTAGCTTATAACTTTAACTTTATTAATTTGTAACTTAGATTTATTTATTTAATAACTTATAACTTTAACTTTATTAATTTATAATTTCTATTTTTATTTATTTATTTATTAGCTTGAAATACAGATTTTAAAGAAATCTCAGGATGGTTTATTTCAGGTTGAGTGTTAAAAACTTTAATGTGAATATCTTTGTGTGCATTCGTTGCTTTAAGTTGCTTCAAAATTTTGAGGTTTTGAAAAGAAATATTTTAATGTTATAGTTCCAATTACAAAAGGAAATTCATGAAACTAAACAGGTAAAAATAAAGTTTAGATTTTTTTTCAGGAAAACATATCAAATTGAAAAAAACCCCATTTATTTAGGAAGGATTTTATTTTTGGCTCCTATGTGTGGGTAACTAATTCAAATAATTTATTTTTCTTGACTTTAGGGAAAAGAAAATTGTTGTTCTAAAATTAAAATTTTGTCACTGACCTGAAAAAGTGAAACATTTGTTCATTCATACCCAGACACAAAATACTGGGAATATTCTGCTTTTATCTTTTCTCTTCCTTTCAACTGTAGCAAGGGTATTTTCAGTAGTGAGTAAAGAGGAGTCCTTGAATGCAATTAATTCAGTTTTAACCCACTGTTTCACAAGTAATGCTGCTTTTCTTCAATATTATCTTTTTTTTTTGGTAATTAATTCAGTTTCATGCCCGTATTTCACATGTAGTGATGGTTTTCTTCAATATTGTAATTTTTTTCATAATAAATTCAGTTTTATTCTGGTTTTTTGTACGCAATGCCATTTTATTCAATATTATAATCTCTTTCTTTGTAATTAAGTCAGTTTTATCCCAGTATTTCCCATGTAGTGCTGTTTTTATTCTGTTTTTTTGTACACAATGCCATTTTATTCAATATTATAATAATTCTATTATAATCTCTTTTTTTTGTAATTAAGTCAGTTTTATCCCAGTATTTCCCATGTAGTGCTGTTTTACCTCAATATTATATTTTTTTTGTAATTAATTGAATTTTATCCTGGTTTTTCATATGTAATGCCATTTTCTTCAATATTATCACACATTTTTTGTAATTAATTGCAATTATTTTGTAATTAATTTAGTTTTATCCCAGTATTTTTTTTTGTAATTAATTATTAATTTTTAATATTATTAAATATTAAATTACTACTAATAATTAATTATTATTAGTAATTATTTTGTAATTAATTTAGTTTTATCCCAGTATTTAACACGTACCACTGTTTTAGCTCAATATTATAATTTGTTTTGTAATTAAGTCAGTTTTACCCCAGTATTCCATATGCAGTGTTGTTTTCTTCACTACTATCATCTTTTTTTGTAATTAAGTCACTTCTACCCCAGTATTTCCCATGTAGTGCTGTTTTAGCTCAATATTATAATTTTTTTTAGCTCAATATTGTAATTTTTCCCCTTCTTTTTCCCCATGGAAGACGAAGGGTGCTGGCAATTTCCGATGGGATTGAGCACATTGGGAACCTGCGCTGGGAGCTCGCCCTGTGCCTCCTGGCTGCTTGGACTATCTGCTATTTCTGCATCTGGAAAGGGACCAAATCCACTGGAAAGGTGAGCCTGAAATATTTCTTTCCACTAGAACAAGAGAATTTTACATTCTGTGTGAGGAACTGTAATTAATTTCAATTAAGAGTTGTTTGTGGCTTTTGTTCCTTTTGGTTTCATAATTTCCTTTTTCCCTAATTCTCTTAGGTGAGGCTGGGTGGTTTTGTTTTATTTTTGTTAATTTAGCAATGAGCTTTACTGGAAAGAAACCAGGTTGTGTTGATTTCTGTGAACAAATTCTGCAAAATTTGGATTTTGCCCCAGACTGTCAGGAGTCAAAACTCTCAATCCCACAAGAGAGTCACTGAGAGTTTTGATGCACATAAAAAGCGAATTTAAAAATACAAATTGAACATGAGGAGCAGAAATAATGAAAGCACTCAGAGAGGGACCAAGATGGGCATATTATGGGGAAAAATAAAAATATTTAGCACTTTTTGAGTGAATTCCACTCAATCCTGGGAGCAGGAAGAGGGAGCCCTGGGGTGAGGGAGAAGCTGTCCCCGGAGTGGTGTAAGCCACAGCTCTGGGTAGAATTTATGAATAATCAACTATACTGAGAGAGGAAAAGAGCCCCAGATCTGGAGGGAGGATCTAAAAAAAGCGCTGGTTTCTCATGTTGGAAATAAAGGAAACCAGGAACAAAATTGATGCATCGAAACATTTAATTTTCAGTTGTTTCTTACATAGTTTGGGTTGTGGTTGGGTTTTTTTTTTTTTTTTTGTTTCTGTTTTAGTGACCTCCATTATAAATCAAATATTTCAAATGTAATGGATTTTTGAAATTCAGAAAATGCCAGAGTGGAATTTTTCAGCTGTGTCAACTGCATACATCCTTGATACTATGAACATTTTGGCTGCTCCCAGTTGCTGATTCTGGGTGTGTTTGCCAACAGTGCCACTCAACCTGCTGCTGCATTTCCCATGCAAGAATTTCCACACACACACACACAAATGCAGAGATTGCTGCAGCCCCACCTTCATCACTGCAGGGAAATCACTGCTGAGAAACTGTCAGGGGTAGGGATTGATGCCTTGAGAGGGCTGCCCTAGAGACCAGACAGAGGTAAAGAATAAAGCAGGGATTTATTCCAAGGAGATGAGAATGAATAGTTTAGAGGGAGGGGAAAAATCCTAAAGAGAGGAATCTGGAGAAGCCAAAGTGATCCAAGGGAATGACAAGAAAAATGTCCTCACGCCTTTGACGTGGGCTCAGGGAGGTGCATGAGCACTTTGGAGTTTTCTGAGGGGTTGCAGCTGGAGGGGAAGAAATGAAACTGAGCAAAACTGGGTTTTTCTCTCCATCAGAAGGAATGTCTGAGGATGGAAATGTATTCTAGCATGGTTTAATCTGCCCCAGGGGTGCAGGGAAAAGCTCTGTGGCTGCATGTGTGTGCACGCACGCCAGGCTGGCCCTGATGCACTCACAGACAGAGCAGGGGGGAGCAAGGCTGGGCTCAGAAGGGGCTGAAGTGACTTTGGAAAGGATTTATTTTACATTTCTGGAGTTTACATCCAGGATTTTACTGTTCTTCCATTCTTTCAATTTATGCCATTTCCCCAGAACCAGATCTTGTGCTTTGAAAGTGGATAACCTGTCTGACCCTTTTTTTTTTCTTTTTCTGATGGCTTAGCTAAACCCTCAGCTTTAGGTAGGTGGACTAAATTGATTTTATTTCAGTGTGATTTTGATAAACACCTCTCTGATGAGGTCAGCCTGGGAAAGAACAGCCTGTCTTGAGCACGAGAAATGGGATAATAAACTTTTCAACAAGCACAAATAACTTCTAGTCTTGCAACAAAAGTGCACATAGAAGGGAATTCACACCCAGTATTCAGCTTTATAAAAACATTTAGACCAGGATTCTGTAAGAGGCAGACTTGTTGTATACTTGCACCATGTAAATCAGTTTGCCATGAGCAGCTGTTCTGTTTCCAGAATGCTGAGGAATTCCTCAGAACTGGTGAATTCCCACATTTCTCAGGACACCCTGTGATACCCATGAACCTGCCTTTGCAGAGGTCCATGGCTCTCAGGAAGGATCTGTCCTAGCCAATACTGATAATTCCTTTTTCCAGCTCTGTTTCTGCAGTGCAGGTTTTCACCCTGGGCATACATTTTCTGGTTTTAATTTTTTAATGCACTGTTTTTTCAGTATTCTTCCACTTGCCATTTTTTCCAGCCTAATCTCTGGAAATCTGGGCCATGGCATTGCCTTCCCAGCACAGCAAACTTCCCAGCTTAAAAACAAAGGCAGCACTCAGGTGTTAGGGATGCTATAAATGGATTAAATGTTCTGAAATATAAATGATGTAGCAGATTTCTCAGCTGAAGTTTCCATTTCAAATCTAATGCCATTTCTAAAATTCATATTTAAGCTCATCTATAAGCCTTCCCACTAAATTGAATTTATTATATGCTCATTTCCAGGAAACGTTGAAAATTGACTTCTGGGGTTTTTATTATAATAGTATAACAGTCTGTTAAATTTATGACATACTTTAATTGGATTGAATAATTTCAATGACAAAATACATTTATTCAAAGCAAAAACTTCTTAAAGTTTTATCACCTTTGAAACTTTTTCAAAGGGAGGTGTCTGTGGGACAGGATAGTGGAGAGAAAGAGGCAGGAGAAACAGAGGTGAGATGGAGAAGGTGTGTCCTCCCCACACACTTGTGCTTGGTGAAATATTCAGGAGGTTGGTTCACCCTTTTCCTCTTTTTTACTCTGCATTCTAAAGCATGGTGGAAAAAGAATCTGAGCCTTAAAAGCTGTTATAAAATAACCCCATCATTCTCCAACCAGCACTACCACAGATCATGAATATTTAATATTTCAGGATATTAAATATATTAAGACTAACGTAAAGTTTAACTCCAGAGGAAGTGCTTATTACACTGTTAACAGGATGTTCCAAACTTTTCCATTACTGTTCTTGAAATTCATCACTTTCTCACAAAGCATTTCCATTTCCCCTTCCAACAGGTGTGAAATAGCAGAATAAATCCAGGTGATTCTGGCAGCTTTCAGGTAGAATAGATTTGTGCCCTTTCAGAGGTCCTTGTCCTTAATTATTCAAGCTTTTCTTGCCCTGAATTATCCAGTCTTAAATCTGAAGGTATTTGTGTGCCAGCTTTCGCATTTTAAATGTTGCAAATATGCAAAATGTAGGATCTTTCAATGAGAAACTCAAAATCAGAAGGAGAAAAATACACCAATGCAGTTATTATAATTTGATGTGTATTTTGAAACTTGCTTGATAATATCTGATCTTCCATCTCATGGAGAAGAGTTTTCTGTAGCAGAGATCAAATGCTTCCAAAGATGAGGTAAGATCTATCTAGAAGACTGAAGAAAGTTAGTTTTTTTAACATTTAAATTATCATTCCGGTCTCTGATCATTAGGTTTGGTTCAGTATCTCATTTTTCCAAAATACTTTTGATTTCTGGTTATGACAATTCTGAGTTTTTCTATATTGTACACAGAGCTGCTGAGTCCCCCTAATTTTTTGATGTTCCTGTTTCATTAATGAAATCTTCAGGTAGAAGGGAACCTGCTTTTTTATGGATCTTGATTGTCCATTTATTAATTTAACTAAATGTCCTCGTGCTTTAAACTTTGAAAGAGCAACACCAGTAGCTGCCAATGTATTTTTCCTAAATTACTTGCTGAAGGCAGTAATCCTAATATTTTCCTTTTTATTTTTTATTTTCATGAGAATTTTTGCAAACAAAGCCTTCCACTGAGCTCAGGTCTCTCTGCCCCATTCCTTTTGAAGCCTGCTGGACTCAAAGTTACAGAAAAGCAATTCAAGTTTTCTTTCCTGCTCTTGGTTAATTTTTGGGTGCATCAACACATCCCTGTCCTGTGCTGATATCCCTGGTCTGAAACCCTGGCAGAGATTTGGAGTTATAAAAATGTAAAGGTTGGGAGGGACCTTGGAATGTCTCTGGTGAAACTTCGTGGTCAAAGAAGGTTCAGCACTCAACTTGGAACTGTTGTCTTGGTGTTTGGCTGCATCTTAAAAACCTCCAAGGGCAGGGATTGCTCATGTCTTGGGAAAACCTCTTCCAAAGCTTGATTTCCCTCCTTTAATCAATTATTCCCTACATGCCGCTTCATTACAATATTTAATTTTGTAAAAAAATTATTTCTTTTTTATTATCTTGTTACATTTCTGTTATCCAGCTCAATTCAAAGCTTGTTTATTGTATCATCTGTGTCACTATGGAGCATGGGTTTGAGAGTCTCCCATTACTGATTTGAAAAGACTTCTGTATTAATAATCTAAATTCATAGACTTAAGTTAAAAAATAATCTAGCTTTTCTGCCTGGACCACTTGAGGTGGAATGAGAGCTAATCAGCACTGAGGTGCTTCAGGATTTTTTGCTGTAGATGAGGAGAAGCTGAATCAAAAGTATTAAAACCCCCCACAGCCTTTGTATAAATTTTAATTTATTGATATCAGAACATTTTACCCCACCCACAGCACATTAATTAAACTGTGCATGAGGTTTTGTCATGCTATGGCTCAACACCAAGGCAGCATTTCCTGATGCAAAGTGTTAAAAGAATATTCTCCCTCTAGGATTTTACTGAATATTAGAATATTAGAATATCACACTGATTGTATGAACACTGAGCCAATTCTAATATATTCTGGGCCTTTTTGAACGGGCTCTTGTTAACATCATGCAAATATTCTTTTGCCAGAGCTGAACTCAAATAGTTCTTGCTCAGTGAGTTTTACTTCTGCACTAGTTACTGGTTAATAAGTGATGAGAAATCCTTCTCATTGTGCAGAACCAGCTGCAAGAGAGAAAAATCTCACAGGAATCCATTCTTCAACATTTCCTGGAACTCCTCTACATGCCATAATCACGGAATATTATTCTGTCTGATTCTGACTTCTGAATATTTTGATCCTTTCCTTCTCTTTGTGCTCAGTTCCCTGAATTTCCACTTCCTGCTGATGTTAGAAGGTGTTGGATTTAAGCTGC